CAGAATCAATACCAAATAGAATCATTGGTGATTTCATTACGGCCTCACATACAGTTTTACTGCTGGAGTTACAGTGGAATGAAAACTCTAGGAAGCCCACGTAAATTCAGGATTTTTGAGGCTTGAAGTATTATAGGTTTATACTTTAAGGACTTCATAATAGTGTTGGCAAAAGGGACTGAATTTTGTTAAACTTGTTTTGGCTGGTAAGGAAGATTTTTTCAATTCTGTTTGATAAACAACTTTGTGAAATCAATGAAACTTAATGGTTTAAGCATTGTCTTGTATACATTGCCTGATGGTAAAATCGATTGACAAATGGAAGTTGTGAGGTTTCCTTCAGTGAAGGCTTCATGAAGAGAAACACAAATGATTTTTATGCATCCGTCCAAACTAGTTCTCTTAAAATCAAGTCTGCCTTTCAAGATGAAAGTTATGAAGAGCATACTAGTCATTATAAATAGCAGTTTGAATCAAAAATAAATATATAGAAAAGCCTCCCTGAGACAAAAATTTTCCTAAATTGAACTGTGTATAGTAAAAACTCCAAATACCAGGATGTTTGGAGAATATTCTAATTAATGAGATTTTCTGTTTATTGGAGGATTTTTTGTTGTTGAAAAATATTTCTAAACATACTCATATTATGTTTTCATATGGTATATACAAAACACAGCTGATCATTTGTTAAACAATGGAAACTTTTCTGAATTGAGAGTTATTTTCTGAATACCAGTTATTGTTTTTATAGCAAGTATATGCATATTATTAAATGATAATTTATTACAAATCACTGTGCTATGTAGCTCAGCAAATACAAAAAAAAATTAATAAATTGCACCACTCTTCAAAGAGTTTATAGCCTTTGTGGGTTTCTTATGTAAAGAGATTATTATAATAGTAGTTAATAACTAATAAAAATTTCATAATATATAACTTTTTTCATATATACAGGATAAGAAACATGGAAAAATACTTAGTTATTACAGTTATATGAATAAATGTTTCTTCCAAAATCTATTTAAGTTTCTACAGAAAAGATCAGAATATCTAAATATTTTAGAAAACTTTTCATTTGGATGTTTGCATATTGATTTTTATATATTGATATTAATGTACAGGTTTTATTTCCAATTGAAAGAAACTTGTACAACATAAGTTGTATATAAGTTGCAATGTGGCATTGTATATATTTTAGAAATAGTGCAGCAAGTTTATTAATCGATGTATAATTTCCCCATCAGTAGTTGTATTAAAATATAGGCTTGTTCTCATTGGAATTTAAAATAATTGAAATCTATATTTCATAAACCCATATCATAGTACCTTTTCTCAACAGACATTTTACAAGTTCATAAAGATTTTGTTGTAAATTTGCTAGGAGCAATAAAATAAAGATTATGGATTAAGGGTGTTTCCTAGAGAGTCTCTACAGTATATTGGGGAAAAAGAAAAAGGCCGGACTTTGATATTGGCTGATAAGGATCATGTACATGAATCAGTCACTTCTTGTTTTCCTTCTTATGTTGAATAATATTGTGCTTATCAACAGAAATTCATTTTTTCTTAGTGCTTATTAGTCTTAATAAGTAAACCTCCCACAGGATCAGTAAAATGTTCAAATGATCAAGAATTATTTTTTAGTTTCTTCAGAAACAGACTCTTAACTATAGAGAACAAACTGATGGTTACCAGAGGAGAGGTGGGTAGGGGAATGGGTGAAATAGGGGATGGGGATTAGGGCCCTTGCAGGGGCACCTCGGTGGTTAAGTGTCTGACTCTTGATTTTGGCTCAGGTCACAATCTCAGGGTTGTGAGATTGAGCTCCGCATTTGGCTCCATGCTGGGCGAGGAGCCTGCTTAAGATTCTTTCTTTCCCTCTCCCTCTCTCCTCTCTCCCTCTCCCTTTGCCCCTCCCCCAACATTTGCACAGGGGCTCTCTCTCTCTCTAAAAAAAGAAAAAGAAAAAAAAAAAAAAAACAGGAGGGCATCTCTTGTGATGAGCACTGGGTGTTATATGTAAGTGCTGAATCACTAAATTCTATATCCAAAACTGATGTTACACTGTATGTTAACTAACTGGAATGTAAATAAAAACTAAAAAAAAAAAAAGGATTTTGTAGTTTCATTCCGAATTGAAGTTAGTCAAACAACCAGACAAAATAGTAAAAATTACTTAAGGTCAAAAGCATATAACCTAACTAGAATTTAATCCTTCCTCTGTGTAATATTTTAGTAGCTATAATCAAAATTCACCATTATCTTTATGTTAATGATAATAAAGCAATGTAAAACTGTAATTGTTTGAAAACCCTGGTTCATTTTAGCTCATTTTTTCAGTAAATATTTAGGGTGTGTCCCTAGGTCTTATGGGCTAAGATGGTGGTTCAAGGTTTAGCCATCCCATCCCCATTCCAGGCAGCATATTGGAGGAAGATGTGAAGAAAAGAGGCAAAGTCAGCTCCAGCCATGCTTTAAATGAAGTTCTGGCCAAGTGTCATACAACATTACCTCCAAGGGAAGCAATGAAATGAAATCTTTTTTTGGGGTGGCCACATGCCCAGCTGAAGGTTGTGTAGTTTATTATTCTGGAGGAGGAAGAGAATGGATATTGAGGATTCCAGAAGTCTTTGCCTCTGTCCCTAGCACTGTACAAAAACTGCATTCTCAAAGGCAACAAATGAAATCCAGCATGGTGTGTGCGAGACTTAGCACTCACAAAGGGAGAAGGTGGGGGAGTAGCTTGGAGGTGACAAGCTGACAGGACCCTAGAGAGGAAATGATTTTTAATATTTCTTTATATGTTAGATTTCAGAAACAGTCTAAAGATTATGTATTGGTTTTCTAGAGCTGCTGTAACAAAGTACCGCAAACCATAAAGCAACAGTAATTTATTCTTTCACAGTTCTGGAGGCTAAAATTCAATATCAAGGTGTCAGCAGGGCCTCTGCAACTGGGTAGAATCTTCCCTCGCCTCTTCCTAGCTTCTAGGGATGGCCATCAATTCTTGTCATTCCTTGGAGTGCAGCTGTATCTTTTCCTCTATAGTTACATGTTTTGTTTTGTTTCTTGCACCCACCCCCACCCCTGCCGCTGTGTGTCTTTGTGTCCACATGGTATTTTCCTCTTCTTAGAAGGAGACTATCATGGGGCGCCTGGGTGGCTCAGTTGTTAAGTGTCTGCCTTCGGCACAGGTCATGATCCCAGGGTCCTGGAATCGAGCCCCGCATCGGGCTCCCTGCTCAGCGGGAAGCCTGCTTCTCCCTCTCCCACTCCTCCTGCTTGTATTCCCTCTCTCGCTGTGTCTCTCTCTATCAAATAAATAAAATAAAATATTTAAAAAAAAAAGAAGGACACTATCATATTGGATTTAGGACTTACCCTAAGGTCTTCATCTTAACTCAATTACATCTACAAAGACCCTGTTTCCAAACAAGGTCATAGTCACGGATACCAGGGGTTTAGCTTTCAGTACATCTTTTAGAAAGACACAATTCCACTTTTAAAAGAATATTTCTAGATAATTTACTGTTTGAGGAACTTTAGACATCCAGACAAAAAAAGGTTATGATTTGTTTGTTTGTTTGTTTTAGCACTGAGCTTCCCTATGGTCAAAGGCCTACATTATTCTTCAAGACTTTTAGATTTAGATTTTTGTTATTTTTGATGTGTCAGTAGGCAAAACAGTTGTTAAGATGGTCTTAATTATTGGAATGTATCCACCTAGGTATTTTTTTTTCCTTTGTGTATGGAAACCCATTTGCTTGAAACCCATTCCCTTAAATACCACCAAAGAATTATGACTTGTCATTTCTGTGTGCCTAACATATAACTGTTTATATGACTTTATTACACAGCTCTGTTCTCTTCAAAGTTTACACTTTATAACTTGCCTTAATTTGGATATATTATGTAACTTACTCAAAGAAGATTATTTCACATCCATTTCAACTTTCAATACTATTATTACAAGATTCATAATATAGGTTTTTTTTCAGTCTATTGAAGATGAATTGGTGTATTAAATGATAAAGATATTGTGTAGGTAGATAGAGGAACCATGAGAAGTAATAACTAAAACTCTGACTTCTGGAAGACAAGGAAAATATCAACATAGACAGAAAGTAAAGAACACACATGTGTGTATACTTGGTGCTCACCTGTGAACAGACTCAAGATCCACGCTGTCAAAGAAAGCAGACTGAGATCCTTTATATCAGTCCATTATACCTTAGAATACTAATGAAATATACAGAGTGATGACCCAAGTGATATCAATCAAAGCTCATATTTTGTAGCATATTCTGTTTCTAGCATATGTTTAAAATGTGTAGACTACAAATGTGATTGTTTTAATTTTCGCTCTTTGCTCTGTTTCTTTGGAACCCCTGCCTTCTTAGTCTCTGTACTTCGTGCATGCAATTTAGGAATATAGAACTGGTATCACTTATTTGTCTTATCTAAAAAAGCTGAACTCACAGAAACAGAGAGTAGAGTGTGGTTACCAGAGCCTTAGGGGTGAGGAAAATGGGGAGATACCGATCAAGGGTACAGACTTCCAGTTATGAGATGAGTAAGTTCTGAGGACCTAACATTTAGCATGGTGTCTATAATTAACAATACTATATTATATACTTGAAAGTTGCCAACATAGTAGATCTTAAATGTCATAACAGAAAAGAAATGGCGATTATGGGACAAGATGAAGGTGTTAGCTAATGCTATGGTGGTAATCATTTTACAGTATGTAAGTGTATCAAATATATCGTATACCTTAAATTTATACACTGTTATGTATCAATTATATCATAATATAGCTGGGGAAAAATAAAAGTGAAGATATTATATCTACGTGGTTTATGGGTATTAATGACATTCAAAATATTTTAATTCGGGGAAACAAAGGAGAGTGTGTGGATTAGAGAGTTGAGGGAGACATCGTCATTGTGCATGTCATGGAGAGGTTATGTAACTTCCCCTGTATCTTCTTGTCTTGGCAGTGTGTGCAGGAACAGAGAACAAGCTGAGCTCTCTCTCTGACCTGGAGCAGCAGTATCGAGCCTTGCGCAAATACTATGAGAACTGTGAGGTAGTCATGGGCAACCTGGAGATAACCAGCATCGAGCACAACCGGGACCTCTCCTTTCTGCGGGTAAAGCTGCCTCTTTCTTTCTCTTCTCTTCTCTGTGAGTGGACAGTGGTGTCACAATGCATAAAGACAGACCAGCTTGCTTGTACTTGATGGTGATGCTCTTCTGCCCGGCAGGGACCATGACTGTAGGCAGAAGATAAGAGTTATCAAGGCATGCCTAGGAAAAGAACAAGAGTAACAATGCCATCATGACTGACACCTTGAGTTCAGTGCAGTTACTGTTACTCTAAGACTGATAAAAGATCCTGTCAGCCTATGGTACATGATATCTAGCAAGTCTGGTTTTTTTTTTTTTTTTTTTTCTGATTTGCAGGCAAGAGGAAAACTGTTAGGCTGGGGACTAGGAGAGTCAGAGAACCAATCAGATAAGAATGGGTAACTTTAGTAATCTCACTTTCTGTCCCTTTACTGTCACTTTGGAAATTTCAGACTACTCCATATTACCATAATAAGACTAATACTGTTATCTTTAGAAGAAAAATGACATCTGTTTTTGAAAACTCACAAATTAGTTAAATTAGATACAGGGAATTATAAGTACTTATGTAGATTGATATATGCATACACATAAATGCATATGTGTATATATAAAGTTACTCAGAGACAACCAGTCCTTTTGCAAACTTGTTTTGGCTCTCATTTACATCCTTAGTCTGTTAAACAGACTATCAATGCTTTGTGGCTTCAGTTTCTTATGTTTTGCTTTAACCAGAATAGGTAATAGGAAAATCTGAACTTCAAAGAGATATGGTCTTCTGCACAGCTATGAATTTATTCTTTATATAAGAACTATTATGTATTTTAAATAACAGCATCCCTCTAATAGATTTGATTTTTTCAGTAGTATTTACACATTTCTTAGGAGTACTGTCTTGTGTAAATCAAGACAAAAGTGTCTCAAATACTGATACAGTAGACTATTTGGGATATAGTGAATTACTTAAAGAACTATGATAATTTAAATAATTCTGCACTTAGATAAGTAGTAAAAAAAAAGGCAATGATTTTTTAAATACTTTGAATTTACATAACAAATATATCTAGAAGGGTAACAACCTCAGAAAATAAAACACTATGAAGCTTATGATACCTGTTTATAAAAATGACTATCATACTAGGATCAGTATAGGGACTGAACGTATTTCCATATTCTGCTGCTTGATTAGCAGAGCACTGGTTCTATGAGTTATATGTCAAAACTTTTTAATAATTATGAAATTTAGTTATGGCATTTTTGTTTATCAAAAGTAAATAGTAAAAATTATCTAAGTTCCAGAATGTGAGAGCCTTAGAAGAGCTTAACACTTTTTTTTTTTTCTTTTTTGGACTATTGTTTCAAGAAGAGAATACTTGTAAGCTATCCTAGAATAGCCACTTCAAAGGAATGCATCATTAGTTATTAAAATTTGTTTACAAGCTTCTAACCTGTGTTCATTACTTTCAGATAGATTTTATTCTTCAACATCAAAATAAGATTTTGATGGCATATGAGCTGATTTGGTTAGAAATGCCAAGAAGCTCAATGATGTGACAGAAAAGGAAAACTGAGGTCTGAATTCTGAATCAGGGAAAAGAAATAGGTTAAATAGTTTATTCAATCAGAATAATATGAGAAAATTTTAAAAGGCAGTCTAAGATCTTTGTTTTTCTTCTTGTGTTTCCTTGACTTTGCTGTACATGGAACAAGATTCCACGGGCTTAACAAAAAATAGTCATGGATATTGTAAATGTCAGTCTTTAAAATAAGCAACATAAAATGTTATGATTATTATATATTTTATAATTTTAAAATTCTTAAGCTCTTATAAGGTAAAGAAGAGAGTGATCAAAAAATAGATCCACGTCAATTTTGTAATATTTAGAAATAGGAAAGTAACCTACAGATCTTTGACCAACATGGTCTATATTGTTGGATATTCTACCTTTTTAAGAACCATTTTGAGTAAAAAGTAAGACAATAGAATAAACAGATTTGGGAAAGAATAAAATAAGTATGACCAAGGTTTCTACATGAAATAAGAATTAGTTGTTTCTTAAAAAAAATAGTTGTTGATACCTAAGTAGCATTTCTAAAAGTTCATGTAAACTTTGTACTACCCCATGATCATATCTTTATTGTCATCTACTGATTTAAAGATAGCTCTAATAGTTTTTTTTCCTTACTAATAACACCTTTTTTGTTGTTTCACTTATCTGTTGTTCCTTTGGAAAATAGCCATTTCTAGTCATGACATATATGTATTCGCTCAACAGATAGTCTTAGCCCAAGAATACAATAGCAAGTAATATATTGTCCTTGACTTCAACAATCTTGCAGTCTTGTAGAGGGTTACAGATGAGTTATACATAAGTATCGTGTATATATGTGTGTGTATGTATATATATATATAATGTATACAATATGTATATATGCATATATAAAAAATTATCGTTGCTAAGACAGAAATGAGAAGCCAGAATATGAATGAAGGTATGGTCTTGTCTTAATGGTAGGTGTGAGTGCTGGGCAAAAAAAGGAATGGCTAATTCTGAAAGACTCAGGAAAGATTTCATCAAAGAGGTGCTTGAATTGAATCATGAAAAGATGAATAGGGGCTTACAAGGTAGGTAGATGGAAGAGAAAGGCATTCCAATGGGTGCGATATGAGTGCAGGCTTAGAAAGAAGGCCTGAAATCAGAGTTAATAAATGTGTACTTAATGTTTACTGCTTTAGATATTAGACATATGCATGCAAATAAATAACACATCATTCTCACCTTCATGGAACCTATAGTGTAGTGTGGATCAAGATAAATTTGGGGATGGAATAAAATATTAAATTGGAGAGGTAGAAAGCCTTATACCATAGATAGGTATTCAGGGGACATCAGAATCCAAATAAGTTAACCATTGGGGCTTGGATAAAATCATCAAGGGGGATTGAAAGATTCTTAGACCAGAAAGTGGCCCAAGAACAGACCTCTCCAGATGCCCCATTCTCTGTTTTTTGGTCAGGTCAGTGTTCTAACTACTTTTCTGAATGAGCCCTAAAAGGAGGCACAACTGGCTGAAATCTTCATTATGCTACTGTATTCCAACTGTACCTTAGAATATGCTAAAAGCTCTCCATTTACAGGTTTTCTCCACTATTCAAAACTTGCTTTATGTCACTTCACTTTTATGTAAGATCTACATGACTACCTGTTTTCACTAACCAGAAGAAATCTGAAGAGGATTTTCACTTTTACGAATGATAATTGCTTCTTTTCTTCGTACCATTTCAGAGTAGGGAGGGTTTAATACAAATACTCTACTTTCAGAGAGCAGGGAAAAACTGTAATATAAAAATTTCACTCCAGATAACTACATTATGGTTCCTTTGTGTTCTTAGTGGGTTCCCTCCAAAGTACGTAATCTGTCCAATATTGGCTCATTATAATAAGTAGAGGGCATGTAAAGGAAAACTAGTTATTTTACATTATGCTAATATTTCCAATAAGTTTTGACTTGTATGAGTGAGTAGTAATCTTGCATTAACCTATTCTATGTATTACATAGCCTTCAAATATATTTATATAACTGTAATTCACTGAGCAACTGCTTACAGAGGTGTGCAATTTCCCTTCCTCTCAGAATGACTCAAACCTATAATGTGTTTAGAGAGACATCATAGATAGGGATCTTAAATTTATTTCTGGAATTAATTTCTGTCTTTAAGAACATAGGAAATTACTTTTGTTTTTAAAAGATCTTCCATCCTTATTTTCTTCTCTAATTAGCAAGTTCATTGTATTTTGTTTTATTATTTGTTTTGTATGAAACCACTCTAATTTCTATAATTCATGAGAGCAGCTTACCTCAGTACCCTGTTTACCTCTTTCACTATCTGAATAGTCATGTCTAGAACAATGCCTAAAATATCATAAGCTTTCATTAAATATTTGCCTAATGGACAAATAAATGAATATTTTTCATAAAACTTGATACTTTATAGATCACCATTTCGTGTATTATATGTTCTCTAGATGAATATGTCTACCTCTCCTCATGTTCTTTCAGTATGACATCACCACAGATCAGGTGTGTGGGCGTAAGACACCCACTGGGTCAATCAGAATCCCTTCCTGTGAGTTTCTATATCAGTTAATTTCTTGACCATTTGGGTACTAGAACATAGTCATGTTTTTTTCTTGTCATTTGGGTGTCAGAGAGGGCTGTGCAGATGGCAGAATGGAGCCAACACACTGAAACAGACAGAGAGCAGAGAAAGAGAGAATGACCGTTCACCCCAAATTACTGGTGAGGGAATTTCCAGGTTCTGGTCTTCTGATGACTGGTTGTATTACAGCCAGTAGTCCATAGGATACTCCTGGAACTTGAGAGTAACTTTGAAGTGATTTTCTCTTTTTTTCCTAAACTAGATACGTTTGTTTTCTTTTGTTAAAACCAAAATATCCCATCTAGTACATCTCTCAAGATCCCATCTAGTACCCTCATAATTAAATCTACTAGAACACAGAAAAAGTGCGCTTTTGAAATGAAGATGTACTTCTATATTATAAAAATAAAAAACTAAAACAAGCAAAAAACCACCCTATAATGTTTTGGAGATACTTCCTTAATCTTTGTTAGATATATTTTATTGAAATGCTTTGAAATGCATTATTTTCAAGATGCTTTTCTTGTATCAACCTTGGTGCTTATCTATATAAGCACCTTTTCACCCAGCTTTGTTGTAACCTCCAAGTTTTTGCATATCTTCTTGGGGAAAAAAAAATCTGGTTGACAATATTTAACATTGGACCCCTGAGACATCACATAGTTGGCTAGAAAAAGGCCCTAAAACTTATTTACTATGTACTTTATCACAGTCACAAGGTTAAGACATAATAGAAAACAGCAAGGCATAAAAATCACAGATTTTGTGTTATTGTCTTAGACTTTGTGAACTCTCTCAAACAAGGTGAAATATAGCAAATAATGGGAATGGACTTTTAGCGCTTTTACCCTCATTAGAATT